CTTTTCGGCGATCTCCTCGGCGACTCTCTTTCCCGGCGACATCCACCTGTAAATTTCTCTCTCTAGATTTTCCCCTTTCAAATTGATTCATAATCGTAAAATGAAAATGAAGAATTGATCTTTGGATTTAATGCTTTTATGTCTCCACTGCATGGATTAAGCCTCAATTCCGATACATTAATTTGTGATAGAGTAATATTGTGCCTTTGAGAGGAGTTCTATTTTGTTTTTTTTTTTTGGGGTGAAGAAAATGGAACACAATAATTAAGGCCTCAAATTATAAATGTATACGTCATGATTTAAAATTATTTACCAAATCCTTTTAACTAGTTTTTACAACATATTTCAATTTCTGATAATTGGAAATCATTTGAATTGAAATACCATGTTGGTTCAGACCATTTTATACAAATTGGTCTTTGATTTAATGCCTGGGATGTTGGAGAACTTACGATTTTCTTCAGCGACAAATATTATCTAAATGACTAATACTCCCTCTTTTCCAATTTATGCGACCTGCTTGCCTCGGCACTAAATATAAGAAAGAAAAGAAGACTTTTGGTATTAAAAATGCCATATCATTTGTATTGGCTATAAAAGTTTCTCCTTAAGGATAAAATGCAAAGTTTAAAGCTAAATTGTTTTCAAATATAGAAGTGTGTCATTCTTTTTGGAACTAACTTATAAGGAATTGAAACCTGCTAGTACTTAACCCTAACTGGAGCCAGGCAACGATGTGATCAGTGTACATTGTTCTAGATTTTGTTGGTTTTCACTTTTCGGTTTGCCAGCTCAGGAATTGATTACGAAACATTAGGCATCTATTCTTTTCATCTTGCGTGTCAATATCTGGTGTCTGTGTTTGTTTTATCTTTTCTTTTAGGTGACATCTTATTTATAGATTCATAAGAAAGTAACTCTTCTTGATGACTTGATGTAATCAGAGAACTGATTGGATGTTTATGTGTAACTTGCTTCTTAATTATTACGATTGTTTTGTTTTCTCCTGCATTCGCTGCAGTTGCTGTTTACACCTGACGAATAATGGGAGGGCAGAAGAATTATTCACCTCCACCTTATATTCCTTTGGATCAGTCAGATGCAGAAGCACACCATGTTTCTGCTGCAGAAGAAAATCAACAGAGCAAAAGTGATGACTCGGCTCAGTGGAGTTCTGGAATCTGTGCTTGTTTTGATGATCCACAGAGCTGTACGCTACTCTCTGCCCTGTGATCTTGCTTTATGACAAGGGGAAAAAGTGAATGAAAGGTGCATCTTTGGGTAGTAAAATAAGAGTCATGATTAATTATTCTCTTGTCTTATTAGGCAACGATTATCATAAAACTCTGAGTGCACCACCTCTATATGCCTAGGACACCTTTAAAATGCCCACTTTACTTAGTAAGATGATTTATAGCCACACAAATATATGACTCATTTTAGACCACAAGTTTCAAAATTTTTATTTCTTTTTTAAACTCCGTGCTCAGTTAAACACTTTCACATAAATTGGGATGGAGAGAGTACTTTTCAATATTGAGGTAGCCTTAACTTTGTTTACTCCTTGGAGGCTTGGACTTAAATACAACAACTATTACGCCTCAATTCCAAGCTAGTGGGTTTTGGCTATGTGAATACTCACTATCCATTTTGCTCCATTTATAGTTGTTTAGTTTCAATATTCAATAATTGGGACGCATGCCTGGGTGAGCACGTCCCAATGTATTCAGTACTATTTGTCATATAGCTTTTGCTGGTCGTTAACCTACTGCAGCCCTCATCTTTTATTCTGGTTTGGGACCTACTATTTGAGCAAGCTCACACGGACGAAGTTCTTGGACTTAGATTTTATCTTGCTAGCTGGAAGAGTACGAAAGATACAGTTGTGGCGTAGGCATAGTCATAGTCATAGTCATTTCGCTCTAGGTGTTTACCATGGGCCTGAAGATGCAGTGTTGTCAAAGGCGCGCTTAAGCCCTGAAGCGAGGCTCAAAACATGTTGAGCGCTTCGCCTCGCTTTGTGGGCTCTTTAGTGTCGCATCAAGGCTCTATGGCATATTTTTACTTGCCAATTAGTGTAATCCTGAACAAACGACATTAAACAATTGATATTTCACTTTATCGTAATGTTCTTTCAATTTCTTTGTCCATATATTTGCTATTCATGCTTATAATTATTAATCTTGGACTACATATACATATTTTTGTTTTTTTCTCCAGTTGCGCCTTTTTTCATTAAAGCCCACGCTTTATTTGCTCTTTGCGCTTAAAGCCCCAACGAACCTTAGAGCCTTTTTGCGCTTTTCGCGTTTGATAACACTGTGAAGATGCACATTTGAATTCTGCCACTCAACATTAGTCTTATGCTGGATGTATGTGCATGCATGCTTGTGTGTTGGTGTACAACATGAATTAGTACGACCTTTAGAGCTGTCTTAGTCCTACACATTGAGGCATAGTTGGTTGATATATTCCTTATCAACAGCATAAAAATAGAAAAAATGCTGATTGATATATTCCATACAGTTCTGGGAGACACTCATGCATTTCTGTTCCCAGCACTGCTCCCATTCTATTTCCAGATGTTTTTCTATTCCTCTCTCCCTTGTGGTCTCACTGTTTGTCATTGTCGTGGAGTAATAACACAACTGCCAGAATTTCCAGAAACTGGTTTTCAGAAGTTCTGATGGGCCTAGATCACCTTTTTCAACAGATAATAAGATCAACAAAACAAGTGATAATGGAGGTGTGATTGGGGAAGTTCTCTATCTTTGGAGGGTTAATTATGTTCGTTTTCGGATTTAAACTTTCAACAACTGTTTCTGAGTTCTCTGGTGCCAGATGAATTATACTATTTTTTGGTTGACAACCTTGAGTTATTTGCTAAATGCATAATTTTGACCGCAGGTTTTATTGGACTTCTTTGCCCTTGCTTTCTGTTTGGGAAAAACGCGGAGTTCTTGGGGTCGGGAACCTTGATGGGATCATGTACGACTCACTTTATTTTGTGGGCGCTTTTCAACACAATTTGCTGCTTCTTAACTGAAGGCATTCTTTTGGGTTTGCCTGGATGCTTTGTTGCATGTTATGCCTGTGGCTATCGAAGGACATTGAGATCAAAGTACAATCTTCAGGTAGCCATCTCTGTGGTTTTGCTATTTTTGTCCACATGGATGAGAATCTGATTTAGCATATCATCACTAACTCTATTGATTCAACAGGAAAGACATATTTCAAAAATATGAGTGAAGTTAGATTGCTTTCAAATTTACCTTCAAGATAACCTCTCATATTTTCATTATAGTATCCCATATTTTGCAAAACAAAATTACCCTTTGACATATGCATGTGCGGTTAGTCTGTTTTGCATGATTGGAAGTATACACCTTTTGAGGATGTTTCTGTACCTTGATGCATAAATCTCTTAATGTTGCAATGACGACATAAGAATGCACTTATAATAATAAAATGATACTACATAAAACTAAAACAAAAAAGATGAAAACAATTGTGCTCCCCAAAAAAGAAAATTTGGGCTCCCATTATGTTAAATTATATTTATGTTGATGGCTACATGAAGAGACTTTTATATGGGAGTTTGTTCCATTAGGATGAAAAAATAAGCTGAATTGTCTTAGAATTCCACATACATTCTTTAGGATCAAATGTTATCTGTAGAAGCTACAGAAGATTAAAAATATTACAATTTGTGATTGACTCCAGGAAGAGAAGATTGTACATTATTTGAACAAGTAATAGAAGGCTTCAGTTAGATAAAACTATCAATAACTTGGAATCTGGAAAATTAGGAATCCATGTAGAAAAAGAACCGACTTGTGTAATTCCCTTTTCTGTATGGTTTACATTGAAAATTTGTCTGAGCTGGAAATTTTAGCATTGAGTTTGTTATCAAGTGAGTACGCCGCAGTTTATAACCAGTTAACCATCATTGCATTTTCTTTACCGTGAATTCCTCACCTTCCTCTGTTCCCTTAGCTCCCATACCCTGCCGCCTTCCTCTGTTCTGCGCTAATATAATTTGGTTGCAAGACTGAAAAAGGACCACTTCTACCTTATAACAGACAGATACAAACTGGTTAGATTGCGAACTTCCTGCATTTAACGTTTTTATGTCCTGATTTATATGCAGGAAGCCCCTTGTGGAGACTTCGCGACACACTTTTTCTGCCACTTGTGTGCCATATGCCAGGAATACAGAGAGATCCGTGAGAGGTCTGGAGATTCTAACTCCTCTGATCTTAGCTTAGTGGCGGTGACAGCTCCTCAAGTTCAGAAGATGGAAACAACTCCTTCAAACGAATAGATATTGCTAGTGTCCAGAAGATCATTTTTCAATGCTGCCATTTCCATAAATTATTCCACCTTTGTGTTCATTTGTTTTTGGTCTTTATCTTCCACGTCTATTCTAGGGGTCTGAACTATATAATCATGTTGTAATATCTTGGTTTTATTGAGGTGAGTAAATAGTCGTCTACTCACTCTGTATCTTGCTAGTTGAGTTGATATATATTACATGCATACATGGAGGTTGCTATGGCATCTGTTTGGTAGGGAGAAGGTTTTAGGAAACAGAACTTTTGTATAAATTCTGTAACAGAAAATTTATTATATAAGTTATTTTTTTTAATATTTAGTTTATATGGTATTCTGTCATTAATCATAGAAACTGGTATTACCCTTTGTTGCCAAACTAATGTAATTGTTGAAAGTTTCTTGTTTTGTTAGTGATTCACTCACTCCCCAACTAAAACAGGAAGCGAAATAACTAGTTCCGCCTGAACCTAGAAGGATCAAGTGCTATGACTTAGACTATTATTTCAGACATTGGAAGAGTTTTAAGTTTTATGCACTGACATTGTGAAAATATTTCCACAATTTGGCAGTGTAAATGTTTAGATTATATACAGACAATATATAGAATCTTTTATAATAGGTTAAATAGTTTTAGCTTTCTATTCCTGTCTTAACACATTCTGATGAAAGGATTAAGCCATTTCGATAATTCAATAGCAAATGTGACTCCAAAACTAGTTCAAAAATTGAGTGTAACTAATAAAAACTTAAGTACTGTCAAATTTATCTATACACAAAACTATATTCCTTTCACTTTTCCATGGCGGGGACCGACGTATGCTTTTAGCAGCAGGTGATATGTAGTTGGAAATTGTTAAAAAAAAAACATATTTAAACTAAATCCGCGAGCTTTTGCTATTGCATGACAAGTTGGTTTGAAGGTTGTAGAGGTGTGAAATTGGAGAGGCATCACTGCTAGAAGAGTCCCTTTTCCATGCATCCTGAACTTGAGCAGCAAACTGCAAATTCCAAATTACATCCTCCACTGAGGGCCTGTCTTCTGTATCTTGTAATAAACACCTACTGCATATCTCAATCATTGTCTTCAACGATTCGTCCGAGCATGAATTTCTAATTGCTGGATCAACCACATTCTTTCTTGAGACTTCATTAGCCATTATGCTCTCTTGCAACTGCATATGATAAACAAAGTAAAAAAATGTGAATGAGCTAAGGATCTTATTATAAGGATATCGGCCATTTATTCTTCAGTAATCAGTCCGAAGTAGGTGTGTTTGGTACGATGGAAATCATTTTTCAGGAAATATATCCATGATAAAGTGCATTTTCTGGTGTTTAGTTATCAGACATTTTTCATCATAAGGAATCATCCTCATTTCATATCTAGTTTTGTTTTTTATAGCTTAAGATGAAGTTTTGGAATTAAGAAGAGCGAAAAGAAGTATTAGTCATACCTGATTTTGTATGAGTCGCGCTTCATTCTTGGTATTTATCTGCCTCCCGCTAATTATCTCCAATAGTATTACTCCAAAGTCAAATACATCCGACTTGTCTTCATAATTTCCCCTGTGCATCAGTAAAGGTAAAGATTGAGCAAAATGTGTATGCTCAAGGTGGAGCTCATACAACTTTCTTGATACCTAAGTGAGATTATGCATACCTTACACTCTTCAGCTCTTTAGAACTACTAGATAAATTTTGAAAGTTTTCCTGCAAATTTGCACAGAGAGCAGAATTAGCCAATTTTGCAGGATACATTCTTTTGTGCGTCACAGAATGACATTTCCAACTTTGTGAAGTCTGTTATCCCACCTTTACATTCTCAGCCACAATAGGTAAATTATAGCTGCAAATTTTTGCAACAAGGTTCTGATCCAACACAATATCTGTTATCTTTATGTTATTTGAAAATATTCCAGGCACTATTCCAGTATGCAGAAACTCTACTCCCCTTGCTACTCCTATAGCAGTTGCTATACGTTGTGTCCAAGTTAGTCTTCGTTTATCTGCCAAAAAGAAATAGGATAGTGAAATATCAATTTCCTTGTATTGATCTGCTAAGCACATTATATAGCATATAAGTACAAATGCTTGTTAAATAATTACCAGAGATCCATCTCCTTAGGTTCCCACTTGGTACATATTCGAAGACGAGAAATATCCTGCTAATACTTGAATCATCCAAGTAACACTCAAAGCAGTATCCAAGAGTGCTGACCAGATGATGATGTCTAAGTTTTGACATCAGTTCGATATGATGCATAACATTTTGACTATTGTTGCCTTGCTTCATTTTCAGGCGTCTAATTGCGATGTATGAACCATCTTTCAGCTGACCTCTGTACATCTGAATCAAAAAATTAAAAAAACACCAAGTTTATGAGTCTTTGTCTGTCAAACTTTCACTAGATTGTTCATATATACAGCTCTTACGTTCGCTCGAATATGAGTATATCCCTACGAAGAGCTTATATCGTGTCATACCTTGTTGACATGCACTCATCTAAACAAGTGATTGGCTAGTAGAATGAGAGAGCAAATCTTCTATAACTACCTAAACAGGATAAGGTATAGCGTAACATAATAGATTAAGAGTTCACGATTTGTTATATGAGATGTTAACCCTCAGAGGACGGGTACGAATGTCCATTAAAAGGAGCGGACCAATGGGGTTGTTTTTCAAGCACGAATAGAACGATCTAAAGTGGTGGTACAACCGAGAGAGATGGCCATATCATTCTAAAGCAACTGAACATGTATCGTTCTATAGCTCATTTTCTGGTGCCAAAACGATCAAGGATGATACTACCATGACATAGTACGGTAGGAAAGAAAAAGTAAGGTACGTGGTAATTTGAAATGCAATACCTGGCTGTCAGAATTGCTGCCTATAAAAGTTGTTGCATCAAAGTTGTTTGTTGCTATCTTAAGCTCTTCCAACGAAAAGGTCCGATAAGACGGAAGGCTAAGTGATCCCAGCTTCATTGCTTGAGTAACATATCCTTGTACATAGAGAAGAAAAACAATGTGGCAAATTAGTTGCAGTTAGGAATCAAAAGGAAACTTTGTATATTTAGGCTTTTTCTCTTTCCTATTCTGTACTTCGTGTGCAGGAAAGCCAAGACTATGCTTCTATGCTAAGACACGATCTTGGATGTCAATCCAAACAATCTTTGTGCTCAAAACCTGAAATTAACTTTTACTTTTAACCCCTTTCCGCTTGAGCATTCACTATATGACCGTTTCAATCAACGTATTGGGTGGCCGAGTTAAGTGATAGAGAATACAGAAAGAAGAGAGGAATCTTACTTGCATCTGTGAATAACTTCAAGGTATATGCAGATGATGCATTTTCTACTATTAATCTTGTTGGGGTTTTTCGTACAGCTTCCTTTGCAAGAAAGTTCCTGACAATCAAAATAGTCGCGCAAACTAGCACGACTCCACCCGTGATACTACCACAAACGATAAAAGCAAGAACCACTTTTGGAGATGGTTTTTGCTTCTGATGATGAGGTAAGATACCAACAGCCAACGCTTCATTCCGACAGAAAGATAATGGATGTTGACTACTGTCTCCAGTAGCTAAACAGTTATTAGAGAAATGCACAATCCTGTGCTTAGAACCGGTCATAAGACAACTGGGTAATCTTCCACTCAACAGGTTAGTAGATATATCCACAAAATCTAATCCGGCATTGCATTGATTATCTTCAAAAACCATTCCCGTAAACTTATTTCCTGCAACGTCAAGATAAGTGATCGATGGCAAAGATAACAAAGACGGAGGAAACGGCCCCATAAATCTGTTTAAAGAAATATCCATATGTTCAAGATGATTGTAGGATTGAACTTTCTCTGGAATGCCTGCAGTAAACTTATTCTTCCTCAACACAATGCTTTGAATTTTGCTGCTAACTCGAGGAAATTTAGGTCCAAAAGAGTTATCTGCCAAATCCAGAACCTGAAGGTTTTCTAGACTGCTAACATCAGGAACATCACCAGTAAAATTATTCCTCGAAAGTGCAAGTACGCGAAGATTATGCAAATCTTGAAGTGTATCAGGTAAATGCCCATCTAAAGAATTGTTCTTCACACTCAAAACTGCCAAAACCATTAGTGAACCAATGCCATTCGGAAGTCTTCCAGTGAACTTATTACCATCTAATAGTAAAGTTTGGAGGCTCGTTAACGATGAAATTTCTAGGGGTATGTCACCCTGAAAGTAATTTGAACTTAGGTCTAATATTTCCAATAATGAAAGTCTTGAAAGTTTACTAGGCAATGGCCCCCATAAACCAAGAGAAATTAATCTTAGAACTTTCAAGCTAGGTAGCTTAACAAGTGTAGTGACAAACGAATCGATCGAGAAGTACTTTGGTAATGCAGAAGCCCCTTTTACCCCTATTATATGAAGCTGAGTAATATTTTCCTCATAGCAGATAACAGTAACAGTTGAACTTGGCTCAGTTTTACAGAAATTTGTGTCATTGTTCCAACTACTCAAAGCAGGTGGATAATTCAGAAGATTTTGAATCCTCAATAGAGTCTGTACTTGTGAAGATTGTAGTTGCTCTGAGAAGCTGATTGAGAGTAATATAAAAGCCAAAACTAAAAGATTTTTTAGTCCTAAATGCTTTTCCATCAGCAAAAACTAATATTTGAACACTGAAAGAAGTAAGAAAATTACACTTTGAGCTTTGTGATACACTGCAATTGCTTCAGAACTTGGGAAGTTCTCACTACTTCAGCTCAAATTTGGTAAGCCATCAAGATCAAACTCTGCATCCATAGAATTTAGAATAACAATTAAAAAAATGAATATTATTAATCAACTTAATAAGATAAATTGATAATTTTATATCTTCAGCTCAAATATTTGGAGAAAAAGAACTAAAAGCAAGAAGAGCACCACCCCACCCTCCAAAAAAAAAAAAAAAAAAGACCAATCCGAGAAAAGATGAAATCTTGAGAAATATAGAACACATAGTGCAATGTATCACCATCCTTATCCTTCACATAATGAGATAATCACCACAATTTTTTTTAAAAGTACAAATGAACTGTTGCAATTATTTTTCATATTGTTGGATAATTGGAGGGGAAAAAAATGAATGAAGTAATAATGCAGACAATAGTAAAGTAACCATGGACTTGAAAGCTTACACTTTGGAGAAATACCAAGAGAAGAGAAGGAAGAAAAATACAAATGAAGTAAAAGACCAACTCTTCTTCTTTACAGATAACTTCAAACACAAACTTAACCAACTATTCTTCTTCGAACAATTGTCAGTGAAACAAATTTATATTATATTCTCTTCTCTTTTCTTTTTAACATTTCCCTCAAGAGTACAGTAGTACTATGATATATAGTCTTTATGAAGGGAAAAAAAATCTGAATCTCGATTTTACATGAGGCTGCAAACAAGTGTCAGTTATAAGCACTAGCATTTAGAGAGAGCAGAGACCAACAACAACTGGTTAATCCCACACGAGGAGTATGGGGAGGTTAGCGTTGACGTAGACCGTATCCCTACCTTGTGTGAGGTAAATAGATTGTTTCTGATAGACTCTCCACTTAAAGAAAAGGCAAAACAAGATTGAATAGAAAAACAATAGTGAAGAGGCCATGTTGGAAATACCGGAGAAATGAAACAGTAACGACATCAAAATAATAAGATATATGTAATATTAAAAAATTACGGAATAGGATAATACAAAAATAATACTAATATAATTGAGTTTTTCTTTTTTTTTTTTAGAAGGAAATTATAAATCTCTTATATTTGGTTAGTCCTTTTTCTTGGAGGAAAATGTTTCGGACTTCTATCCTTCTCATTTAGTAGCATCCACAATGTAGCCATATGGGGTTTGAGAATCTTGTTTATGGGAGAATTTCGAGACAAGTGCTAGCCTGCTACTTGTGTTTGCCTCTTTGTGAGGTTGTTCTCTCGATATTTTGTACTCTCTTTTATATAGTGTTTAACCAAAAAATGAAATTTGACTAAAGCTATAATTTAGAAGAACATGGGTTACCGATAATCGCAAGAATGAATAAAGAAAGCAATTCGGATAGCAAGAATATAATCAAGAAAAATAAGTAAACCAAAGTATATTCAGATAGTGTTTTGTGTCTACAATTGATCAATTATCTCCCCTTTATAGGTAACTTGGGGATAAGCGTTTTGCCTATGTCATAATAAGGCTATTATGGGCAATTAAAGACATTAAATACATTAAATGCTACATTGCATAATCATTATATTTAATACAGATTCTCTAACGTTTTTGGTATTTAATGCTTATTAAATATTGTATCTGGACTCTCGTGTGCTGTCAGATTCGTTCTCTTTGATTCTTGGGCTTAAATGGCTTGAACAGGTACGAGCGTTGCCAATTTTTGAATAACCGCTCGTGCCTCTGCTTTTGCTTTCTGCTCGTATCTATTGCAACTCGTGCCTCCTTGCCAGTTGTAATTCTTTAACCAGTCTATGTGTCACGACACATCATCTTCATATCTCTTTAATATGTAAACTTAATTTTTCCCAATACAGATAGTCCCCCCACTTGCCATTTATTCATCGATTGAATATTTGGGAAGTGAAATTTCATTAAAGAAGGAGTTTTTGTCACCATTAATGCTATGTCCAGATCGACGCTCCAATTGTCACTTCTAATTAATGTTCTTGACACGTGTCAAATTTTCATTAGTTCTGTGATTCTGCAGCACTTTTTACGGTTTCGCTGTACATGAAGCGTCAGTTGTCATTATGACCCTTCCATCATTACACCTCTTCCTTTGACGGTTGCTTCTTAGTATAAGTATAACTTCCTTCTTTGTCTTTACCACATAAAGTTTATCGAATATTCAATTTCCCAAATCTTTGTTTGTTTTTTCTTCGCATCATCCTTCTTTACTATGTCTTCATCAAACCCTAACCCTAGTAGAATTCTCATAGTTGATACCTTCCCTAATGTCCCTGTTAGGAGCAGGAGGGGAGGTAGACTTCGTAATTTAGGGTCTGTTCGTGGTGGTTCTTCTGTCCCTTCATCTAGTTCTGGCCCTTCTTCTAGAACTAGGGGTTCACTTTCACAAAGATCTTCTTCAAGAGGTAAAGAACCTTCTGAACCTCTTCGTGAGCCTACAGTAGAGGAGATAGTTCCTTCGGAACTATCTTTTTATCATGACAGAGAATCTCAAAGGAATCAAGTCTCTGCTTTAGATCGTGCTGATATCTTTCCCACTCAAATTACAGAAGTTTTGATTCCTGTAGTTCGTGGAGACTGCCATTGGAGTAGTGACTTTCCTATTATTATCCCCAATCCAAACCAAAGAATTACCTCTTACATAATTGGGTATTCTTTTGTTTATAGATACCCTTTCACCTTAGGGTTTAAACCGGCTATTGACCCTGTTATTCTTGAGTTTTGTCGTTTCTTTGATGTCTATTTGGGTCAGATTGGCCCAATTGTATTGAGGGTTGTTGCCTGTTTGAGGCACTTGTCAAACACACCTGGTGTTCCCTTTACCTTCCCTCATTTGATTCACCTATATTCCCCTAGGCTTTTCCGCAATGGTGTTTTCACACTAGTAGCCAGGAGTAAGAGAGTTTTGGTGAGCCCTGAGGATGACAAAGACCGTGGCTGGCATGCCAGGTTTGTTGCTGCCCCCACTATTGGTTTAGTGGGTGAAGATAATGTTCCCTTCCCTGAGAAGTGGAATTTTGCACGTAAGTCTTTTTAACTTTCTCGTGCCTTTTTTCTTCAAGTTTGTCAACTTTTCTAATTTTGCCTCTTTTTTTTTCTTAGCAACCATGGGAGTTGTGGAAAGTGTACCCAATTTCCGTGATTGGGTAGACAAGTTACTAAAGACTGCACCAATGGATGGTAGGTCTTGGAAGACACTTTCTAACCGATTTGGCTGGAAAGTATAAACTCATGGCAAGAGTTTTTGTATTATTTCATTTTTCATATAATGTTTTTTTTAACATTAATTTCAATCCTTCTTTTTATCAGGATTTGCTATTCGGGGAGTTACTGCCGAGGCGGTTGCGGCTTCCCGCATCTCTTCAAGAACTTGTATCTCTTTAGAGAAGGCTCAAGAAATAGTCTTGGGTTCTTCATCAAAGAGAAAAGTTGTTGAAGAAGAAGATTCTGAAGAAGAGGAAGATGGGGGCTCTTTGGTGAGAAGGCCTCGAGCTCGAAGACGCATCATTTCTGATGATGAAGCTGAAGCATCCCCCCGCCATTCTATTCCTTTTACCGAGCCTGCTGAGGCCCCGGTGGTGATTCCCACATCTGATGATGACGGTGCTCCCCTAGATACTCGTGAGTCCATTGAACACCTTTTTATTAGCGGGTTTGGCAGTGAAGGTTTAGGGCCCGTTTTAAATGAAACACCCTTAGCTTCTTTTTTGACTCCCGTGTCTGTAACTCCTTCCTTGCCAACTTCAGCTGTTCCTGTTCCTTCTCAAACTATTTTCACTTCTTCTACTACCCCTCCTTCGACGATTCCTCCTCCAATCATTCATCATATTAAAGTTGGCTCTTCAAGTAGGAGCGCTGCTATGAAGAGGGTAATCATTGAAGTTCCTGCTGAGAGCAGTCTTTTGAGGAAATCAGGTCAATCGGATGCATGGTTAGAGCCTCTAATTGGCCCAATCGAAAAAGCCAAGCTTCAAAGCCACAGTTCATTGACGTTGATGAATGATATTGTGCATGACACTTTGAAGGTATTCATCTTCTCTCTCTTTTTTCTTTACTTCATGGTTTTTCTATCTTTGGGATTCTTATTTCCCTTCTCTTTTTTTTTAGGCCAATCTTATCGGCACAGAGATGATGAAAAGAGTTACCTCCTCAGAGCAGATTGCACGTGATTCTCAGCTAGAGCCATTCAATTGGAAGGAACAGTACGAAAGCTTGCAAATTGATATGGAATATTTGGAAGAGAGTAAGAGTACCTTGGAGCAGCAGGTTCGGGCCTTGACTTTGGAATTGGGCGTTGTAAAGGCTTCTTTGAGTCAAGCAGATAAAGAAAGAGCTCGTCTTGAAACTTCCTTCTCAGAGCAGCTATCCAAGGCTAGTGAAGAGAACAGAGAGTTAAAGGCTCTCTTAAGTGAAAAAGAAGCTTACGCCGGGGAGCTCGTGCAGAATTTGGCACAAGCACAAGAAGACCTTCGAGTTTCTTCTGATAAGGTTTGTGCTTTGGAAAACTCCCATGCCTCTCTTCAAGCCTCCTACACATCTGCCTTAGCTGAAAATGAGAAGTTGAAGAGCGAAATTGCTGACTGGGAAAGGGATTACGAGATCCTTGAGGATAAGTCTGCTATGGAAGTTAGTTGGGCGTTTTTGAATTCACGCCGTGATACCCTAATTGAAGCTGGCCAAGAAAATTTCAACTTACAGTCTGAGTTGGCTAAGATCAATGAAACTATTGAGAAAGCTCAGCAAACTCAAGATTTTCCTTCTCCCATGGCCGAAGCTTCCGTGAATGTTGAAGTTGATACGGGTATCCCAACTCTTTCAAGCCCAGTCGAGCCTGTTGCCGCAAGCCAAGCTGATCCTACTGTTGTAAGCCAAGTTGATCCCGCTGCTGTTGATGCACCATTTTCAGTTCCCTCATCTTCCTAGTGATAAGTTTAAGTTGTTTGAATTCTCTTTTTTTTTCTTCAGGTACCTTTTTGGAAGGTTATGTTTAAAACCCTTGGTTTCATTTGAGGGTTTGCTTTTGAAAACTTAAGTCCCCAGACCTTTTATGGGGCAGTATGTATAAACAATTTGCAGTTCCTACGACTAAGTTCTTACTTAGTTTTAAGCTTTTTAATATTTTAGAAGTTTTCTCGTTATTATCTTGAACTTCTATTTAATTTATTCTTGCCTTTATTTCTAAGGACTTATAGAATAATCTGCATTTTTATTCTTAGAAAATGCTTCTATTGTCTTCATGAATAACTAAATTAAACATGAATTTTATAAAAGAGGGCCCTTTTATATTTCGACACTTAATGAAGAAGACGTCTCAACTTCATAATGGTGTTAACATACGATAAAAGAAATAGGAACACACATGTTTCTTTGAAATAACTTTGACAAGTTTTTATTTGAACCTTGCCTACTTTTGAATAATCACTTTACATGTATTTGAATTACATCTATAACTTCTCGTAACTGTTTTTCTTGTAACAGATTTAAAAAAGAGAAAATAATAAACACGTGGTTTTTATTTATAACCCGTTTCAGTACATAGCCTATACCCTAACTATAATAAGGTTTTTTTTGGCCTTAGCTCGTGACTTCTGCACTTGTCTTATGAGTGAACTTTTCAGGCTTAATCTCTGATTTTTTTCTCAATCTTCTTTGCCTTTATACACATGCTGCCTGTGTATATTATGTAGTCTCCCAAGTGTTTGAGTGTTGAAGTATGAAGCCTCGAGCACTTGATTATTCCTCTCATTTGGTCCTTTCCCTGAAAAAGGAAAAACACAC